CTTTGAATAATATTACAAGTATTTGAGGAAATGTTATTTTGATCATGAGGCTTTAAGTATACGCTACTGAAATAATTAGAAAATTCATCAACAATTTCCTGTGGCGATTCTAAAAGACTATCGCCAGAAAACATTTTGGTAAACATTCAATTTTCTTAGTTTCTTTAAGAAACTTTCTTGACCCATCACTGGTAATATTCATAAGAATATAAGAAAAAATTGAACCTACACCTCGCCAAAGTTTTTTGTTTCGAATGCGTTCCACCAACTTCAAATACCGACAGACAGCTGTTTCGACCTTTATTGGGTCTCATCAGTGTCGGGCAACTTGGTGTAGTGGAACACAATCAAAACAAATTACTCCCTCAGCTTATATGCTCGGTTGTTAAGTCAACAGAGGCGAGATGTAAGAACATCAGGTGATCCACACCGTCAAACGACGTGGCCTTTGCTGCAATCGGTACATACTATGCAACCGGGACTGCACACAGCAATTGTATCACAGATACTAATATGGCCTAAAGGAATCTAGAATTAACCCAAACGGGCTAAACATTAAGGTAAACATTCAATTTTCTTAGTTTCTTTAAGAAACTTTCTTGACCCATCACTGGTAATATTCATAAGAATATAAGAAAAAATTGAACCTACACCTCGCCAAAGTTTTTTGTTTCGAATGCGTTCCACCAACTTCAAATACCGACAGACAGCTGTTTCGACCTTTATTGGGTCTCATCAGTGTCGGGCAACTTGGTGTAGTGGAACACAATCAAAACAAATTACTCCCTCAGCTTATATGCTCGGTTGTTAAGTCAACAGAGGCGAGATGTAAGAACATCAGGTAATCCACACCGTCAAACGACGTGGCCTTTGCTGCAATCGGTACATACTATGCAACCGGGACTGCACACAGCAATTGTATCACAGATACTAATATGGCCTAAAGGAATCTAGAATTAACCCAAACGGGCTAAACATTAAGGTAAACATTCAATTTTCTTAGTTTCTTTAAGAAACTTTCTTGACCCATCACTGGTAATATTCATAAGAATATAAGAAAAAATTGAACCTACACCTCGCCAAAGTTTTTTGTTTCGAATGCGTTCCACCAACTTCAAATACCGACAGACAGCTGTTTCGACCTTTATTGGGTCTCATCAGTGTCGGGCAACTTGGTGTAGTGGAACACAATCAAAACAAATTACTCCCTCAGCTTATATGCTCGGTTGTTAAGTCAACAGAGGCGAGATGTAAGAACATCAGGTGATCCACACCGTCAAACGACGTGGCCTTTGCTGCAATCGGTACATACTATGCAACCGGGACTGCACACAGCAATTGTATCACAGATACTAATATGGCCTAAAGGAATCTAGAATTAACCCAAACGGGCTAAACATTAAGGTAAACATTCAATTTTCTTAGTTTCTTTAAGAAACTTTCTTGACCCATCACTGGTAATATTCATAAGAATATAAGAAAAAATTGAACCTACACCTCGCCAAAGTTTTTTGTTTCGAATGCGTTCCACCAACTTCAAATACCGACAGACAGCTGTTTCGACCTTTATTGGGTCTCATCAGTGTCGGGCAACTTGGTGTAGTGGAACACAATCAAAACAAATTACTCCCTCAGCTTATATGCTCGGTTGTTAAGTCAACAGAGGCGAGATGTAAGAACATCAGGTGATCCACACCGTCAAACGACGTGGCCTTTGCTGCAATCGGTACATACTATGCAACCGGGACTGCACACAGCAATTGTATCACAGATACTAATATGGCCTAAATTTTGCCTGGGATACGCGAGCTACTTTTCTTTGAATTTACATATGACCAAAATTTGTTGGGATCAGACTGTAGGCTAGACTCTATCTGATTTAAGTGTACCTGATAACAATCTTTAGTTAATCTCTTTACCAATGTGCGTTGTTTTTTAAACTGAGTGTGATAATATTGACTACCAAACATGCGAAAATGTTTAAAGTAATAATCCTTAAGTTTTAAACTTTGAATTAGTTCATACGAATACCATCTAGGATATTTTTTATTTTTAGAAATATATTTAGGAACGTACCGATCTATGATAGTATAAAGATCTTTGTAAAACATATCACAAGCCAAGTTAGCATCATTGCTTTCAAAGTACCAATCATGATTTAAAATAGCATTGTAAAGATCTGGAAAATTACTCCTTTTAAAATTGTAAGCCTTGTTATTCGGACAACTGCTAAAGTTAGTATATTTATGTTCTAAAAATTCAAAACGTATGCTTAGAGGGGGATGATAGTTGTCCATATCCACCAGAGGTACAGCCTCATAGACACAAACATCCATGAGATCACTCAAAACAAGATCTAGTAAACCGCCATACCTGTTATGAATATCATTAAATTGAGAAATATTTTGAAAATTACAATAATTTTGATAATTAACATATTTACGGTTATTAGGCTGCATATTAGAAATATTAAAATCACCAATTATAATAACATTCACCAGGTTTGTTGTAGTTTGTTCAAATAGTTCAAAAAACAATTCAAAGTTTTCAACAGTAATTTGTGGGGGAATATAAGTAACAAAAATATAAAACTTATCATGATTAATCGTGCATTTACATCCAACTATATCCACCATAGGGACATTATCATAAATTAACGATAAATTAACCTGATCTAAATCATAATCAGTTTTACATGCTAGTAATACACCACCACCTCTGTTTACATTCAATGAAATAAAATTTCTATCCCTACGAAAAACCTGATACAATTGAGGTGAAAATATCTCACTAGAAGATACATTGGCTGACAACCATGTTTCTGTAAGTGCTACAAAATTATAATCAAAGTTAACATATAAATTAGAGTAGAGTTCATCAATTTTTGTATTTAAGCCTCGAACATTTTGGTAGAATATCACATATGCAGTCTTGATCTTTTCTTTGGGCAAATTTAGTTTAAATTACAAATTTTTGGTATACCACGATTATATTTTATGGTCAGATTGGACTCGCCTTTTGAAATTCGATCATTTAATTCAGTCTTCACGGAATTAAAGTAGTTGAGTTGCTTAGGGGTACGGTCAGAAGCGATTCTAATTGAAGAGTAGAGTGGATTTTCCCGTAACACCTTTGACTTAGATAAAAGTCGAAAAACTTGAGATTCATCCTGTAACTTGATTTTAATTGGTCTAGGTAGTTCCTTTGTTGCATCAAATTTCCCCAATCTAATTGGTTTAGCTGTATCGACGGTTATGTTGGGAATCAGATGCTGCAGTACTTCTGAAATCTTTGATTTGTCCAGATTACAACGGTCACTGCTTGAAATGGAAGAGTCCTGTTCTGGTATTCCATAAATAATTATATTGGACTTCCTGAGATTTCTTTCGTTTACTTCCTGGACAATTTCTTCGAAATCAAATCCAGATTTGGTTGTCGAGTTATCAAATGAAGTTTGAAGGGATTGCATTTGCACCTTTAATGCTTCAATGGTACTTTTTAGCTCACTTATTACTTCAGTAAGGTGAGCACATGTCTGGCAAGAAACTGGTTGAACTTTAGGAGGCATGTTTAATGGCAATTCTTGAAGCAGGAGAAATATTAAAAATCTGGCAACGTCGCTCCTATTTTATCCGCACCGGCTTGGAGAGTAATTAGAGGTTAATTATAAATAACACTTAATTTAGGAAAACCAATTAGCTCCAGAAACCAAAACTTCACTTACTGCAAGATCCACAGTATCAAAATTTCTTCATTTATAGTCTATAATACTAATTTATTCAATAAACAACTGCAAGTCACTAAACGATACACTGTTGCCAAGTTCAATAAAGTAAACCTGGTAATTAATAATATAAAAATTGAAAAAGTAGATAAAATAAAATATCTGGGTATTATATTAGACTCGAATTTAAACTTTAAAAACCATGTTGAATATTTGTTAAATAAAATTTCAAAAAAAGTATATTTTCTTGGTAGAATTGGGAAAAATTTATCGTTGCAAGTAAAATTATTGTTATATAAAGCCATTATAGCTCCACATTTTGATTATTGTTCCACTGTATTGTTCTGTATAAATAATAATGAAATGCAAAAATTACAAAAACTTCAAAATAAAGCATTGAGAATTATTTTAAAATCTAACAGGTATACACCAATCGAAATGATGCTTGACGTATTAAGTTTGTTAAGTGTAAAACAATATGTGGTTTTTAAAACACTATTATTTATATTTAAAGTTAAAATTGGAATTCTACCTATTTATTTAAATGACAAATTAATTTTGGTACAAACCATCCATAATTACAATACTAGGAGTAATAATGATTTTTATGTTGAAACGTATGACAGGGTACAAACAACAAAAAATGTTTTTGTTAATGGATTAATATTATTTAATAGTCTTCCAAGTGATATAAAAAATTGTTATAACATTAAAATATTTAAGAAACTTGTAATTAAACATGTCAAAGAAAACTTTTTTGATAGTTTGACTTTGTGATTTTTTTTTATATATGACATTTTTGTAATGTAAATAGCTTATGCTAATAAATGGTTTATTTATTTATTATTTAATAGTCTACCTGCTAATATCAAGGAAATTAACAACCTAAATTTACTTAAGAAGGAATTGTTTAACTATTTTTGTGATCTGGAGCCATACTCCTTTCATGATTTGTTTTCACATTGAAAGTATTTATGTATTTTTTGACTTTTTTTCTTTTTTGTACATATTATTGAGTTTTTTCTTGTAATTTAATGTGCAAATTTTTGAAAATAAACGATATTATTATTATTATTATTATTATTATTATTATTATTATTATTATTATTATTATTATTATTATTATTATTATACCATATTCAAAGGCATCTAAGTGTGTCATGTCCTGCTCAATTTAATCTATTTGTGGTATTGTCTTTATTAATGAATTATTGATGAAGAAGAATTTCTGTAATTGGTCATTTTTAATAATAAAAACAATTAAATTCGATTTGATTCCGAAATATATAATTTAAATAACAATCTTACATAACTTATTTTAATCTTTTTTTGTCTTTTTTTTTAACATTTTCCTACCCAAATGAATAAATAATTTAACAGATACAGCTATAAGAAAAATTAAAATAGCCAAAGCTAGAAAAATAACAGACAATACGTCCAACATGAGGTATTGATACCAGGGCAGATCCATAGAAGGGGACCTTAAGTGGGAAGCTCCTTTATGCCTTATTACATATTCTATCCACCAGATGGCTCTTTCCAAACCGTCAGTTGGTTGGTCAGTGTAGAGTTTTGATAGCATTATTGCATTTTCTTTGTAACTAAAAATATTTTTTTTTATTAAATCCTTATCACACTTTAGTTTAGTTTGCAAGTAATATTTTTTGCAATTTGACACTGCAACTCACTGATTTATATTTTATGGAAGCCTCCACAAGCAATCACTAGTTATAAGGTCATTTTAAAGTTTTATTTACCTTGGCTTTGAAATAACTTCATTTATATATTCGGTTAATCTTTCTTCAGTTATGTCTTCATAGTCCAGGTATTTACCCATACCATATTTTGCTAGTGTATCAGCATTTGTTGTTTGGTCAGAAAAGAATGGTATGGCTATGACGGGTACTTGATTTATTATAGTTTCATCACAGGACTGTAATCCTCCTTGTGTTATAAAAAGTTTGGTATTTTTGTGCTCTAAAAATTATATTTAAAATTATTATAACTATGTATACGAAAGTCTTACTTAATATGGCTGTTTGAGGAACCCACTTCCGGATTAAAATGTTTTTTGGCCTATTATATAAAGTATCCTTATTAAATTTTAATAAAATGTCATACTTAATATTCTTGAAAGTATTCAAAATAGCTTTTAATTTATCTTCTGGCAATTCCGATACTTCTACATTGGAACCCAAGCTAAAATATACAACTCCATTCTTTGATTTATCCATAAAATCTTGCAATTCCTGTAATATTAGTTAATATTATCGTAATGGCTAGCTTTAATTAAATAAACTTACAGAATCCATTGTTTCAACCGATTTATTGTTTCGCGTATACCCCAGCTCAACTATAGCCGGCACCACAGGCATCACCCTATGAAACACCGGGTTTCTGTTTAATAAAAGCAAACTGATATTTCTTTCGATGTCTCCAAGGTATGGAATATCTTTACCTAAATATGTTCGTGCTAGAGCATCCTCTCTAGGCAATACAATCAAATGGTAATATACTCTAACATACACGGCATATAAACCTGACATCAATCTATCTCTAAATGACAAATTGTTTGGTATAGGTAAATTATGGTCAGGGGCGTAGACGGGGTGCGATGGGTTTCCTACAGTATCCAATGCTGGTATGGGCGCTCCCAAAGAAGTTATACCAATTAATGGAGCATTGTATTTGGCAGCTAGTGCAGCAAATGTTGGGTAAAGCCATTCCACTATGACCACATCGAATTTGTGGTCTTCTTTCAAAAAAGTTTGCATTTCTGGCATGTTTAGTACGTAATTTCCTAACTTATGAAAAATGTATGTTGCCACGCTGTCTTTTAAAAAAACAGTTGGGAAATCTGGTTTTTGTAGTATATATTTTTTCGTTGCTTTTTGAGCCTCGTTTCCCTAATAATACAGAAAAATTTATTGCATTAGTAAAATGGATTAGTTTAATAATAAAAATTAATGCCAAAATCATATTATTAGAAACAATCTTATGAATCACATTTCAATTGTTTTTTGCACATGCTACGCTATACAGTAATTATATTTACATAACTAACTAGATAAAAGCGATTTTTTAAGTGTTAAAAACTTTAAAATAAAATGTTTATACTCGATTTAATTCTTATAGATTAACTTGTATGCAGGGATTTAAATTGAAATATATATTACTTTTATTTTCAATAAAGTTTAAAAAATATTACATTATGCTCGATATTTATCTTATGGTGCAAGGTTTTAAAACTTTACAAATTTTAAGATAAACAAATTGAAATTCGGTCCATTAACCTTTATATTTATTTAAGCCGCTTTTAAAAAATAATTAAAAACATATCAAAATATTAGATAATTTAAACTTATTTTTAATAGATACGGGTATACTGTAAACACGGGTGGCTTTGCACCCTGCGGGTGACTAACCTTTTTATGAAAAATCTTTTCGCGCTCGATAAAATTAACATTTATTATTTTTTGGTCTAAACCTGTCAATTGAGCGATTCTATTGAGTTTATGGCGTTTATCAAACTTGATACATAACATACTATTAAAGTGTAATAAATCCCATTTATTTCTTTAAAACACTGATTTTCCTGTAATATAAACTTTATATTACAGGAAAATCAGTGTTTTAAAGAAATAAATGGGATTTATTACACTTTAATAGTATATTATGTATCAAGTTTGATAAACGCCATTTTATACACGAATTTAATTTAGGCACGAGCGAGCTTGCGAGCGAGTGCTTAAATTAATGAGTGTATAGAAAATTTTATAAACGAGGTGCATACTATACTTTTTCTACGACAAATACTTATTATTATCTTAAAATTATTTCACATTTTTTTATGTTATAAACACAATTAAAAAGGTTATAAATCGAAATGTATTTCTTGAAAATTGACAGTTTTTCACAGTGAAAGTAAAGAAAATGTTTTATGAGGACTTTACAGTAAAGTCCGTGCCCAAATTTAAGTTATAGTTTACTGCCGGCGAAATTAAAAGGTCAGTACAATGTTCATATAAACTTTTCAAGTATTGGCGTTGAGAAACTATTTAATACTTTTATTTATTTTTGTATTGAGATAATAAAATAATTTTCACATTTAGTATTATTTTACAAGAAAGGCATTTTATTTTAACGATTGTATGACATTTGACAACTGTCAACTAACTTAAAAACTAACTTCAGCCCGTGACTAAAAACCTGTTGCTAACTTCAGCCCGTGACTAAAGCACCTTAAAGCCAAAACTTGTCAATGTGTATTTAAAAGGTCACTTAGTGTCATGGAAACATGTACGTTAAAGGGCGTTTTAAAGGTGGGAGGAGAAAAAATTGTTTATATTGCATCAGTGCAGAACTCTTAAAAATAGACGCCTTACAATTTCTATATTAGGCGCAATCCCTTGGAATGATGATCCTTGGTTAACTACAGGTCTATTTTTATTTATCGGTAATCCCGTGAAATAGCTATATGTCGCTGCTAACATTTTTTTATTGGTTTTTAATAGTGCAAGTTTATGTTATTTATATTTTGTGAAATTTATAAAAATTCATAGACATACATTACATTGTTGTGTATTGCAAGTCATATTTGAGCCGTACTGTCAGTGCCAACTTTAAGTTTTTTATTAATGTATGTATTAAAATAATATATATATATACAGGGTGTTATGTAATTAATGTTATATATTAAAATGGGTTGTTCCTTAGGGTCCATAAAGAAGCACCTGAAACTTTTTTTTTCTAAATTCCAAAGTCTAAAAATAATTTATAATAACCTTTATCCTACCAAAAAGTACGCCACTGATCGACTAGGAACTTTAGGTTAATCTGGTGGATTTATTATGTTATGGTTGGTAACCAGTGTTTCCAAAATCTCTTAAAAAAGTTGACAAACATTGTTTAAATTTAGCTTAATTACAAAAATGACAAAATTAACAATGCAAATTGTCAATTTGGCGTTTCTATTAATTGTTGGTTATTTCATTTTTGTACTGAAGGTAAATTCAAACAAAATCTGCCAACTTTTATGACAGAATCTAGTGCATTTCTTTTAAATTTTAGGTTATGTTTTCAAATTGTAAATATCTTAGTGCTTTTGGATTTATTTACACAAATTAAATGTTTAAAGTTTAACCTGTGAACTGGTCCCAATTTCATCTGAGTAAACAGAGAAAAAAACTGATGAAAAAATTAATTTTGTGGTTATGGATTTCAAATTTCAAAGGTACTAAATTTTCTAATCATTGCTTAAGCTAATAGCTGGATCAGTAAATAAATACAGAAGGGTATTAGAGCTTTAAGGGCATAAAACTTTTGTATTTATTGAGTTTTTATTTATTTTTTGCAAGAAAAATTTTTAGTAACAATTTTTTACATCTGGCAACGCATAGCTACTTTGTTGGTTGGTATCTATGTACTCACAAAATACAGGTGTGCAGAGATAAACAAGTGTGTAACCAGTGGCGTTTCACAAAAAATATAAAAAACTTCTAATGCATATTTTTTCTTTATCTTTGGAAAAATGTTTTTTTAAATATTTTTCCTTTATTCCTTATGTCAAAAGGTATTCAGTATTTTAATATATAACATTAATTACATAACACCCTGTATATATATATATATATATATATATATATATAAACCAGGCTAGACTATTTTATTTACAACATATCATATGATTTGTTCCTAATAAGTTACGCCGAGCAGTGGCGTACCCGAGGGGCCCGCCGGCGGCATGGGGGGGCCCGAGCTTTGAGGGGCCCCGCTAAAACTTTAAATTTCAATCTATTTTTAATCCCCAATATATTGCTTTTAAAGTAGACAATTAAAACCCATTTAAACACAGGGTGCGGTTATTTATTATATATGTGCACATTGTAGATTTTAAAAAACAACCGAGCTAAACCCAGGTAAACACAGGGCATTTGCGATGATTTATATTAAATGTGCATGTATTAAGTAATGGCTTTTATACTCAAGAATCAAACCTATTTAACGCGTTAAATAGGTTTAATTCGTAAGTATTAAAGTCTTTCCTAATGCGACAAACGCCCTGTGTTACATACATAGGTTTAGCTCGTTTTTTTTTTTAAATCTATGTGGACATACTTATATAAAAAATATTTTGTATAAATTACAGCCTAAAATGAGCATTTTTTAAATAAAAATAAATTTGATGAAAAAATATTTTTTTCTTTTTAACCCTCAAAAAAATTAAATTAAATTATAAAATGTTTAAATATAAAAATTTCAAATATTAAAATTTAACATTAAATTTTCCCAACCTTTCGTAATATAAAAAATATACCTTTTTTAATATTTTAAAACCTACAGTCTATAAAATAAAAATGTTAAATTATTGAGTCTGTAAATGGTTTGTTAAATAAATATTGATTAATATTAAATTCAATGTTTTAATTGTTTACGTTTTAGTAAATCATTTAAACGTCGATCTTATGATTAAAGTAGGTCAACGCACTTTGTGTTACAGATTAAAGTAAAGAGTAAAAATGGGGGCCCCAATGAGATTTTCGCAGGGGGCCCTGAATTTTTAGGTACGTCACTGACGTGGAGGTGTTTCTTAATCTTGACTTCAATTAAGCAAATCCAGAGTAATAAATTGTATGATATGTTCTATTTGAATAAACGTAATGTTAATGTAAAATACAAAGTAGGTATAGAATATACTTTGGAATGTATACAAGTTTATAACTTTAAAGTTATAAACTTACTTGTAACATTAACAACTCTCTTGTCATTATTATTAATCGTAAAATAATCCATATTTTCGGTCTAAAGTTATTAATTACACAAGTTTACAAATTCCGGCCAACTTTTGGACCCGAGCAGATTACAACGATTTTTGACGTTATTTGGTGCGCTGAATTCGAATCTTAAATCCGTTTGGCAACATTGGTTCTAGTTTTTCAGTTCTCGCAGGTGAAGGGTAGGCTTTTCAGTATTTGCCGTACGCAAAAATCAAAGAAGGAATATTTGTCGGACCTGATATTCGAAAATTAATGACCGAAGGAAACTAAACAAAATGTTTAACGTCCGATGAAGCGGCAGCATGGACCTCTTTTCGAAGTGTTGTTCACAACTTTCTTGGTAACTGCAAATCCCCAGATTTCAAGCAAATCATCGGCAATTTGTTGCAAAATTACCGCTAGATTGGATCTCGGATGTCTCTTGATGCATTTCCTCCATTCCCACCTCGATTTTAACCCTAAAAACTTGGGCAATACGAGCGACGAACAGGGAAAGCGGCTACAATCTCGCAAACATTGAAAGAAGATACCAAAAATTTTGGGATAAACGCATAATGATCATCCGTTTCACGCATTAGAGCCCAACAGTACTCGCTCGAGCGAGTACTGTTGGGCTCTAATGCGTGAAACGGATCCAAAACAATATAAAAGACAGTTCCACCGCTCTTCATTCCTAATTTATTACTTTTAATTGCCATTAAATAAATATAATTGCCAAAGATCGTAGTAAAGATTTGGATTCAGAGCCCCAAGTTACCTTAAAAACAACTTTTGGTTGCTCAGGTCCAAAACCGTGTATAGGTACTTGTGTTATTATAACGTAATGCTTACCTTTCTCCATAGTTCATATAGTACACTCAAATCAACTTCAGTTAAGTTTTTTAGAGAAGGATCCTTAAAGGGGTTTGGAGTTATTGACGTGACTTTGTGACCTCTAAGTAATAATTCTTTGATCACGGGTTGAAACATCACCTGGTGACTGTGACTTGGAGTTGCTGCAAAAAACAATATATTCGCACATTGTGAATGCAAAATTAATGCAATAAAAGTAAAAGATGCAATTAACACGTGCATGGTTATACAGTTAATAGTAGATAGTTGAGTGCCAGTAGTTAAATTGTTTATTTTAATAATTTGAAATCATGATAACTTTCGTTGACTTATCTATATTATCAAATGTTCCCATTGGTATATTTATACAATTTATTTGATAAAATTATATAGTATTTAATATCTCTGATAAAATTATTAATAATGTATCATAATCATAATTTTTATGTAGGATCGACAAAAAATAAGATAAGATTTTTATATATTTTTTATTTGCCGTAAATATTAATAAATTTAATTTTTTTTAATTGTGTTTTTAAATAAAAGTATAAGAAATAAACGTTTTAATAAAAATAATTTTTTAAGAGTTTATGCGCTTAGCAAATATCAGTATTTTAAGTAGTGCATACGAAAAATATTATTTTTTTAAGCAATTTATATAAAAAATAATGTTTTACTAAATAACCCACATTAATACCTAGCACCTTTTGTCGCTCTTGTCCATTACATAAATTGTCCGCGTGCGACAAAATGACGTCTTATGGCATTAGTTCTTTAATATACTTAATTTTAATAATGAGTGTCTAGAAAAGTTTATAAACGAGTTAGACACTACCTTTTTTACGACAAATACTTATTTTTTATCGAACGTTGTAAAAATGGAACGTTTAATGCGATATAGAAGCAGATTTTTAAAGTAAAGAAAATGTTTTATTGGAACTCGGTGGAGTCTCCACAAGAAATTAAGTTAATTCTAGTTTACTGCCGTAGAAATGAAAAGGTCAGTACAATGTTTATAAACTTTTTAATTCTGTATTGTATTTTATTTTTGTATTAAGATAATGAAAAAAATATTTTTTCTCCTCCCACCTTTAAAACGCCCTTCTTCGTTTATGTTTCCATGACTAAGTGACCTTTTAAATACATATTGACAAGTTGTGGCTTTATGGCGCTTTAGTCACGGGCTGAAGTTAGCAATAGGTTTTTAGTCACGGGCTGAAGTTAGTTTTTAAGTTAGTTGACAGTTGTCATATGTAGAGACCGGATAAATAAGCACAATTTAAAAAAAAAAAGTGCTTAAAAAAGTATCAAAATATTAAATAAAAAGCTCTTAAAAAGCATGAAATTTGCCAAAAAAGCACCAAATAAGCAAGTTAATTAAAAATAATTAATATATAGAGGCAAAAAAGTTGTAATAATCTTAATATTGGTGTTTATTATTTAAATGATACATTTTATTATTTTTACATTATATCTATTATTAAGACCTAAAGGAATGTATAACTAGATGTTTCTCCAAATTTTCTATAGTAAAATTATGTCTTCTGTCTGTTAAAATGTTTTTGTATGCAGAAAAACTTCGCTCCACATCCACACTGGTTATTGGTGCATATTTAAATTTCGGGATAATGGCTGGATCCATTTCAAAATGGGAATCTTGCCCACCAATGAAAATAGATATTCTTTTCAATGTTTGGAACCCTGAATTTTTCGAGAGAGTCTGGACCAATTTTTCTTTAATTGTTTGACCAATAGATCCTGGAATAGTATTTACTGCAGCTTCAAAACTTTTAATAACATTGACGGATTCCAATAAAGGTGGCTGTTGTTTTTCCAATAGCTGAATACTCTGACTTACAAATTTTTAAAATGACTTTTAATAAAAGCTAAATTGTGTGCAAGTTCAGGTATTTTTACAACTTCCTGACATTCTTGAACTGCTTTGATTTCTGTGCCTTCAAATTCAAGTAACAATCGGCATAGTACATGGCAGCATCTAGCCAAGTTCCCCATCTTGTTACAAATGGTTCTGGAGGTAATGGAACATCAGGCAATCTGTCTTTAAAAAATTGTACTCTCAATGGAGCTTTTATGAATATTTTTTTGCCATTTTTTATTAATGTGTTGACCAACGGATACTGCAAATAATCCCATACTAGATTGATTAAAATAAAAAAACACTATCTAGGCGGCTTTTTATTGAAAGAAAACCATTACAGTATTGGGTAGAGAAAGTAGAATGTAAATTCGAATAATATTTTAGAAATTAAAAGTTGTATTTTATTCAATTTATTTTATTTCATCCTTAAAATTTTCATTTATACCTTAAAGTAATTAAATTTAAGTCAAAAAGGAAATCTCTTCAAAACCATAAAATAAAATCAGTAATTTTTAACAATAAATAAATACTATAATTTTACTTACAGTTTCAGAACATGCTTGACAAAAGACCTTTTTATTGTCAATTTTTAGTTCCTTGTGACCACTAATCCACTCTTCAATGGTTGGCTTTTGTTTTGGCATTGTCTAAATAATTACCACGTACAGAAAATAAAGCGCAAGCACAATAATAGAACCCCGTAGCGTATCCTGTATCTTAACTAAACATTAAAAAGCACGCTACACAGTAGCTTCTTCAGATCGAATACTAACTTATATTAATTTACTATTTATATAAATGATGGTTTTAACAGGTAACATTTTTAGTACAATATTGGGGGTAGATTAAAGGAACAATAATTATGGGAATGCCCTGTAATCTTTATAGTTATATAACACTAAACTATTTGAATATATTAAATTAAATTTAATAACGGGGAATTATTGGTATCAATTTGGTCATTGAGAATAATATCAGTTTTTTTCCTTTAATTTGTTAATTTCCATAGACTCTAATAAATTTAGTTTCATACTTTTGTTTTCTATATGTAAGATTTTGAAGTTAGAATTAAACAGTGTAGTTTATATTAACATATTATTAACATGGAGTTTCATCAAGTAAAAGTCGAAACAATTAATTAAAAAAAATGTATAAAAATATGGAAAAAAGTTTAAATAAGCACGAAATCGAAAAAAAGCATAAAACCTTAAAAAAAGCAAAAAATTAAGCAATAAGCATCATGCATAAAATGTCATACAATCGTTAAAATAAATTGCCTTTCTTGTAAAATAATACTAAATGTCAAAATTATTTTATTATCTCAATAAAAAAGTATTAAATAGTTTCTCAACGCCAGTATTTGAAAAGTTTACATGAACATTGTACTGACCTTTTCATTTCGCCGGCAGTAAACTATAACTTAAATTCGGGCACGGACTCCACTGTAAAGTGTTCATAAAATATTTTCTTTACATTCACTGTGAAAAACAGTCAATTTTCAAGAAATACGTATATACATTTCGATTTATAACCTTTATAATTGTGTTAATAAAATATAAAATTTTGACATTTGACGGTGATACACAGATTCCTCTATTGTTTCATAGATGGCGCTCTATACAAATTTTTGATTTAAATTATTTTAAGGTAATAATAAGTATTTGTCGTAGGAAAAGTATAGTGTTGTAGTATAACTTTTTTACTGTTCGCAGTGTGAATTAAAGCACGCACTGGTTTATTACCGAACAAATTATTTATTTTGTAACTAAATTACACTTAAAACACTAAGAAACTATAAAATTAACTAAACACTTAAATACTAATTATTTATATATCACTATAGTGTATAGTATACTCTTCAAGAGTCTATTTATTTGCACGTATATTTATTTATTTCGTCGCGAGTACCAAAACTTGACTGACTGACTATGCTGCACCGTTCCTTATATATTCAGTGCCTACGTTCCCGAATATTCCAGCGAGCTCCATACAGCTCTCGATCGCTCGAGCGCTGACTCACCGGCGATCTCATCGGCGATGTCATCATTCCGAGATCCAGAGCGGTACTCGCTACAGTATGCACCTCATTTATAAACTTTTCTATACACTCATTAATAGAGCCCGGATTTTTAGGTCAAAAAGTGATAAAAGGTTCCTAAATTAGGTGATATTTTTAATAAAATAGGTATTTTAGGTACCTATATTTTATGTATCCCTGAATAACTTTTAATTGAAAGGTTCAGACGTATCCGATTTTTTTCATATTTTGATAAAAAATTACCTTCAAGACAATTTTTTTTCAGGATAAACTCAATTCGCTTGGCACTTTTTTAGAAAAACATTTTTGATCAATTTTTTGAGATTTTTAATTAGTGAACTCCAAATAATGACTAACAGCTTTTAATGTATTTGTTACATAAAATGTGCAATTCATTAAACTAGTGAACTATTGACATATGTCACTTATCAATTTTTTTCAATTTATCGCAGATTTATTCATAAATTAGATATAAATAATTATATTTGCATTGATTATAGTATACAGTGCAATGAAGCTAATAAAAAACCATGCATGGACTCACTCGAATAATCGAGAAAATTTGTTTATTTTGTCTTAAAAAAAAAAGAAAAAATGTTTAAAATAGGTATGTGGAAAGATTCTGGAAAAAGTTGTATAAGTATATGATGTAAAAGATGAACGATTACCAAAAGTTGTATGCAAAGGTTGTGAAATTTTATTATATAAAGCGGCTAAACAAGAAATTTATAGAAACACGTTAAATTTGCCTGATTTTTCTAATTCGAAATAATTTTATAAAAAGTGCTAAAAATAAACCCATTAAAAAAGAAAAAAAGCGTGTGGTGAGAAAATGTTTTAAATGTTTGTCAAGTATTGTTGGTGGCCGCGGTAAAAACAAAAATGTAAACCTGGAGTAAAAGAAGAAAATATCGAAAACGATATTAGTGAAACTTTAAGTCCGAAACATCAGCAGCAGTTACTATCGCTCTTTTTTTTAAAAGAGCGATAGTAACTGCTGCTGATGTTTCGGACAAAGCTTTGCTTTGAACTTTTTCCAGAATCTTTCCACATATTTTAGACATTTTTTCTTTTTTTTAAGACAAAACAAACAAATTCTCTCGCGATTATCCGAGTGAGTCCATGCATGATTTTTTATTAGCCTTATTGCACTATAAACTATAATCAATGCAAATATAATTAGACCAGTGCCGAAGCCTTTAAAAATGGTAAAAAGTGAAAAAAAATTACAGTAGGATGAAACCCATTGGAAAAGGAGGAGAATATAATAAAAAAGAAAGAAAAAATAAATTACGGGCGATCTGACTTCGGAAAGTGGGAGGGGGGGGGGTTTTAAGGGTAAAAAATGGTTTA